AGGAGATGAAATTTTCACACTTTTCCATGAAGTCTATAAACAATGTTTTTCAGCTGCTCTGTTTATATAATAAATTTTGTCAATTATTACAAAATATATATTTTAGGTTATATAAAAGTATAAGCAATTGAACGATTTATTTACAGACATACACAGCAAAAATAATAATAATAATAATATTCATTAATTAACAATATTGTAAAGTGCCATTGGTTATACAGGAAACACATTTTCTAACTATACTCAAAAACCCAAATCAAGCACACCATCTAAGAGTTATTACAAAATATTTTAAACACATTTAACTTGTGCTACCTTTGTATTTCCTCTAATGGTCAGCGAATTGCATTTAAGTCACTAAAACACCGCAATGGATTGTGGCTAATCAGAGGTTAAAAACTGAAAAGATTCCAACTTTTTCCAGCTTCTACATGAAGATATATGTAATATTGCTATTGGAAACACTTCCGCAAAGCACTTCCGCGACGAACCCGGTAAATGTAAACATCGCCATTATTAGCGATAACTGTTCAAACCCGGAACTCAGCGGATTCAACCTATTCGCTTGTTTGAAGGTTGCAACCATTCCTCTTACGTTGATTTTATTGAATTATGACTCTAGTTGTTTGTATTTGCAGATTTGAATTATTCTTCACTTATTTATTATTTCGGCTAAACTTGCATATAACATCATTTTCTCGCTAACTCTCTTCTTACTCGCCAAGTGGCAGATAATGCGCCAATTATGGTGGCCATACAAGAAACGAACGAGAAGGCCGGAAAGACGGGGAAATCTACTTCTCTATGCAATTTTTTTTTTTTACCTGGTGCATGAGGCAGAGCTCTTCTCGTTTTCTGTTATTATTACCTTTTATTTATATATTTTTTCCTTTGATCTTAAATATAGATATTTTGTTACCATTTCAGTGTATTATTATTTCTATTTTTATTTTAGTATTTCATTGTAACACTTAATATAGTTTTTTTTATTATTCATTTTGATCTTATTTAACTTATTATTGTATTATTTATATATTATTCTTTATTTAGTTGTAATTCATTATATTTCATTTTACTTATATTTTGCTATTATAAAAATTTATATTACATATTTATTTTTTATTTTACATTCTTTTACTTATTGTATTTTTCATACATTATTCTAACTGTAATTTTATGTTAAAAATTATTTAAAGTAATTTATATTTTCTAGATTACAATTTTAGCTTTTTTTTTTTTTTTTTTTTTTTTTTAATAATATGGCACCACTAAAGAGTACAATAGAAAAATATCAATTCATTATAGCCAATTCTTGTCAGCTGCCAGCCATTGGTAATTGCTTGAGAAAAAATGATATCCCTACTAGTTCCACCACTGTTCTTTGTGTTTCTATGCACAAAGCAAGAAATTGTGCTAGAATTTTTAATGGAGGCTGAGCTGATTCAGAATAATATGCTATGTCCTAAATGCAAATGTTCGATGTTTCTAAAACATTATCACAAACTCTCAGATGGCATAACATGGTACTGTGGGAAAAAGAAACAAATAACAGCAGTATTTGCTATGCTTCAAAGACTATTTGAGCATCATCACGGTTTTCAAAAAGCAAACTCACCATAGCTGAAATCTTTGTGTTGACATATGATGTACTCGAAAAAATTGCTACATCAAAGATAATGAAAGAATATGGTTTTGGATCAAACACAATGGCCTCCTGGAGCCAATGCATAAGAGAGACGATTCTGAAATACATTGAAATGAACAGCCAGATAATTGGTGGACCTGGTAAAACAGTTGAAATTGATGAAAGCAAATTCGGAAAAAGAAAGTATCATCAGGGCTATCTTGTAGAAGGGCAGTGCGTGTTTGGAGGTGTTGAACGTGATAGCACTCTTTTTTGGGGGCTGTGCATGATCGTACAGCACAAACACTTATCAGTCTTATTCAAGAGTGCATTCGCCCAGGAACAACTATAATATCAGACTGTTGGAGGGCTTATCGAAGCATAGACACCCTGGGATTTGACCACTTAACCGTAAACCATAGCATTTCTTTTGTGAATGAAATTACTGGAGCACATACTAATACAACTGAAAGTACATGGCAGCATATTAAAAAAACAGCTACCCTGATATTATAGAACAGGAGTCTTTGCATTGTATTTAGCATAATGCATGTTCTCAAAACAATGTGCAGCAAGAGAATTGGACATAGTTACAAAAGTTTTAGAAATTGTTCATGAAATTGAATGGTGACTTTTGTTTTGTGATTCAAAAGTATTATTAATAAGTATTTGTGTATATTTCAGTATTGTGAAGATCTTATCAATAAAATTTTAACATATATAAGTTTTCTAAATTTGTATTAAGGAAATAATTTTATGATGGAAATCAAGGTAAGGTCTTTTTTTTTGTGTGTATATGTATGCTTTCTCAAGGATAAAATATACTGAAACTTATTCGATGCTCTTCAAAAATAATTTTGCCACATCATGAAAATTGTCCTAAAATTAGGAGAGTATAAAAATTTAAGTCAATTTAATTGAACGGAAATTTCACTCTCAAGAATGGTTATTGCAAAATTAGATAATTTCAAGGATTTCAATAAAATAATTTGTTACTCATTGAATAATTTCTCCCATACTTGCGTGAAAGTGAAAAAAAAATTTCGAAAATTTAGCTCAGTTGACTTGAATTTCATCTTCGTTTCAGAGCAAAAAAAAAAAAAAAAAAAAGAATCTGAATTACATACGCAAACTGCTCCATTATTTTTTCGGATTTTCGTGTTATTTTCTTTTATGAATTTTTAACAATGAATAGATAGAAATATTTTCATATAATTAACAAAGTTTTCGGTGACAAATGCTCGATTGCAGAAGAAAATATGGCGGGGGGGCATGATAATTGGTAACATGGCTGTTATCGTCGCGCTAAGCACACAAAACCATGAAGTTTCCAACCCCTAAAATATTTTGATTTCGGGGGCCGTCAAAATATGCATTTTAAATAATTAATTAAGTAATATTTTTATTCTTATTATTGATTATTGTCATCTAAAATAATGAAAATAAAACAATATTTACGGTGTAAAATTTTAATCAGATAATATATTGTTATTGCTTTTCCAACAATAACCTTTGAGGAGACGGCAGGTGTGACACACAATAGATGATTAAATTGAAATAAAAAATATTATTGATTCTCTTAAGATGAAAGAATAGGAATGGATCCCCAAGGTCATCATAATTAGCAAACCATTACTTGTGTAATGAATCCAAGAACAAATGACTCTTGAAAAGTAATAAAATGTACAATAATCTAGTTTTATTAACGATGCTACTGAAGAGAATTTCAGAACTCTTAAAGATTATTGGCATTGTCAAATATGTTATGAAAAAGACGGGCCGTTGTTTCAACATAAAATGCTTTAAGCTGTTTGCAAGTAAATGAAAAAAAAAAAAAAATTGAAAAATTGCTTATGTAAAATGGTTATATTAAAAGTTGTGCATTCTTAATTTATTACAGGGGCATGGCTCTTATTGAATTAAGACTCTCATTGAATGATTTTCATTGGAATTGAACATTTCTTCCTATTTAAAACAGATTTCACCACTTTTAGAATGATGTAAATATGCAGTTGTGGCTCTCACTGACATAAAGTTTGACCATACCTGATCTATTGTATGTGTCTATTGTACTTATACCTATTATCAGATACAATTTTGAGAATATCAACAAGCAAAAGACTTAAAAATGAAAAAAGACGCATGTAATAGAAATATAGTATTCTATATGAATTATAGAAAGTATATGTAATGAATAATACCATGACCAAACACTTGAAAAAAAAAAAGAAAAAAAAAAAAAAGAACAGATTAGGCGTCACCTACCTCGGTACTTGAGAAAGCAATCCTACCATACAACACGCAGTTAACTTTTAATTACATAATATTACAAGCATTTTCTTTATATTTGTTTTACAAGTGGTTAAGATGGCTGAATACTGGTAGTTCAATTTCAGCTCAAATCCTGACGAACGAGCTGGCTGTGCAGGTTTTTTAGTCCAAAGGGGCAATTTTCCGTAAAGGACTATTAATTTCGTTTTGGCATTTTGTGTCAAAAGCTTTAAAAGGCTGTATCACCTTTCAAATTGCTGCCATCATATATTATCGTTCTGTCTTAATTTAAAAAAATTAAATACTGAAGAATCTACATAAATGTATGTATGTTTCTCGCACTGTGATAAAACAACAATACCTAGAGCTATCAAAATTTGAATAACGTAATCTTCCATAGAATATGGAAGCCCTAATTTGAATTTGAAATTTGTTTCATAATCGATTTCAGATTTTGTAACACTTCAATGAACTTTTAATTAAAAATCTAAACTATTTCAAAGTGAGCAATGGCAACAGTGTATAAAAAAAAAATTATCTCCAGCGCACAAGACTTTGTATCGTATTCTAAAGATATGCTCGTTTTAAAATTAATTTGTGATATTGCTGTTGAACTGAATTTGATAATTTGAATACATAGAACATGATATTTAATAAATAAAGGTAACACACAAAACATTTAAAAATACCCCTTTGGATGTAATTTAAAATCTGAATCCTTTCAGATTTTTTTCTTTTCTTTTTTGTAATTTTTTGCATGTGTTTTGTGAGCATTTACGTGGTTTTCTTTAAGTGATGTAAATATGAGATTATTTACCCTAGAAAATATTTACAAAAGCTTGCCTTTTTCAGCTAGCCCTCACATGCTTTGCATATTGAATTAAATAAACACACAAACTCTTCTTATTCTTAAAGTGATAGAGTACCTAATTAATGTCACATTACATGCAATGAAGCTTTTTAAAAGCTAGGATACTTTCTTTAACAATTATAGTGCTAATTAGTGCTGTGCTTCTCATTTATATGTGAATAAATATATCAATCAGGTAAGTCTTCTTATGCAGTCATAAGCATGAAATAAACAAAACAGATGGCATAAAAATACCTAATCCATACATCCTTAGTGACTCATCGGACATCGCTGGTGGCATCAACTTTGACCTCTATTTGGCATTGTGCTCTGAGGCCTTTGGCTGGAAATAAGAGAATAAGCGCTTTTGCACAACTTAGATTAGTATATATGTTAAACAAACATGAAAATGTTATTTGCTACATGAAAAATGCAAAATAAAGTTGAAACATAATAAACATAGATGAAGTAGATAATACAGTACAAAGTCCGTAATCCGGACTTGTCGGGACTTCGGCAATTCTGGATTAGGAGTTTTTCTGGATTATACATCATCAATTTAAATCTGGTAAGATGGCATGCAGAAATTATACAATTAAAAATATAAAATCGTAATTTAAGAAATAAAGAGCAATTGTGATATAAAGGGTATCAAAATTTACAAAAAAAAAAAAAAAAAAAAAGCTTAATATTTATTTGTTTACTTTATTAAACTTTCAATGTAAGTTGTTTAAGTTGCTTCATTTTTTGTGCTAATACTTTCTCTTTAATTTTATAAACAGACATAATTTCTTGTTCAGTTACAAAGTTCCACTGTTCAAGTCCTGTAATTGCTGTGTCGAGAATACCGACTAACTTGTCAATTGAAATTATTTCATTTTCAATAACCTCTCTGTCACTTTCTTCACTATCAGAAGCGGTATTTCCTGGATCTAGAACCATAGTACAGATTTCGCCATACATTAATTCATTGATGATTGAGGCATTGTCGTCACAATGAAAAACTTCTGTTATATCATCTTCATTTATTACTGCTTCTTCACATTTCTTTACAAAATCCAATAACTGGAAAATTTCACCTTTACTTCACGATATCCGAAATGCGCAATCTGCAACATTAACCGAAATGCCTTAGAATCAGTAAATTTTAGCCTAGTTTATACAGTCCGTTATACATTAAATGTTCATGCGTAAAGCATACAAAAAAAAAAAAAAAAAAAAAAACGTTTGTGGCTTTTGAGGTCCGGATTATAAATTATTCAGGATAATGGACGTAAGGATTATGGACTGTATATCAAGAAATTGAATTCTTGCGATCACTCGAAAACCATTTGCAAAGTATATAAATGTACTAACACTAGAATAATAAAATACATTGAGAGTAATAATATCAGTTGAAGTAAGGTACAAAGTCCTATTTCAACTTTGTTGGGAGCAAAGTCCATTTCTTTGCAAGTTATTTGTCAAATGCCAGTTACATTGGCCATTAAACTCCTTGCTTGCTAATAGCGCTGAAATCTACAAGAAAAATTTGTCAGTGCTTCACACTCGTCCAAATGTTCCGCCGTCATTGGCCACCCACTATTACATAAAACACACAACAGTGAATCAGCTAGTGTAATGCAAAATAAATGATTCTGTAGACAGTCATGTCCCGTCAATAGTCTAAAACAGTGATTTCCAACCGGTGGTTCACGAACCCCATGGGGTTCGCAGTGTTTGCAGAGGGGGTTCGCGAAAATAATATTGTAATGGCGGATTTTTTAAAACGCCATTAAAATCAAAAGAAAAAAAAAACACACACACACAAAAATTCTATGTAATTTTATGCCAGTATTGAAAGAAACAATCAATCCGATCAGAAATTGCTGCTACTTGTTTTGAAAATCTAGTGTAAAAGATTACTAGCGAGGATATTCCGTTTAGCATTGGTTGTACCATTTTTGGTGACTTTATAGCCTGCACCAGCAAAATGGAAAAGTACCAAAATTTTTAGTAGTATACCACAATTGGATTTGGTTTGTTTAAATTATGGCAAAGCATGGGAGAGATATCTGCCTATGAGGAAGAATGCCTTCAAGGAGGTCTTATTGAGGGAATCTGGTTTGAATCCATGTTACATATTAGGAATACCATGAAAACAATCATGCAACTAGCCCATTTGTTTGGCTAACCAAACTACCAGACTTCATTCACTTTAGTGTTTGGCTGCTGATGAGCAGCATATCAGTTGCAAAGCACTGAATAATAAATAATGATTAATCTTCTGATTATGGTAACTTGGCAATTTTTTGGTGAAACTTTGACGACCAACCCTGCTACAGCAACCTGCTAGTTTTTTTTTTTTTGGATGCCATTTTGTTTTCACGAAGTAAAGGCGTGTTTTTTTTTTACTCAACATTTTTTCCAATAATCTGCTAGCCGAATTACGCTCATGTTAGAACTTTTATGGAACAAAAATGCTTAATCATGACGAAGATTAGGTGCAAAATTGGGAGAAAGTGTAGAATCGCCCACTGCTTGCCGCGTTTTTAACAATTGCATGTACACGTATCCATGTACACGTCAACCTATTTTCACTTAAAAAAACATCCCAGAATTGCACAAAAATGGCATTGCACACACTCTTGACTTTATCCATGTACACTTTGATCTATTTTCACTTAAAATGTCAAAGAAAATTGACAAAAATCCAATTCTTGTTACTCTTGTAAAAAGCGCTAAACAAATAAGTTGGGCGATTCTGCACTTTAGCAGCAAAATTGTTTCTAAGTGCTTATTAGCTAAAATTCCGATTGGAATTTTCCGGAAAATGTCATATTACATGTCTCATGATCTCTCATTTTTCTGAGACAAAATCTGTGATTCGAACTGTGTACTTCTTAGATTATTGCTAAGGTCCTAGCTAGTAACCTTTATCGCATAACCAAAATGTTGCCAAACTACCTGTTACCATATTCCAAAGATTAGCCTATATAATATGTTCCCTGGTTCTTGTTATGAGTTACATGCAAAAAAGTTTACTTCTGAGAAGCAAGAAAGCAAGCCTTAATAAAAATTACTATGCCAAATTTAAAGTGAGTGTTTTTTTTTTTTTTTTTTTTTTTTTACCTTGTGCGTGAACATATACATAAAATTTTATAAATAAGTCGGAGCAGAATATTTTTTATTACTAAAAAACTTACGTAATCAGTTGCGATTAAGTTGGTTAGAGTACACTGAAGGGTACCCCTTGTATTATCGCGAAGTTATTGTTTCATTTATGGTAACCTGAGTATTCCTTGAACGTTCGGTAAATGTACTTTTACCTAGAATTGGGTGCTCCTTTGACTTTTTAAGTGACTATAGACTGACGTGTACATGGACAGGAACTACTCTGATATGCGCCCTCAAGGCGCCAAATTTCTCGCCAAATAACTCCACGCTGCCATATTGCTATCTAAATTTTTTGTCTACATTTCGAACTTTAAGCCTAAAATGTCTCCAAAAACACGGTTTTCACGAATGCAAAAACCACGTTTTGAACACACAATTTAAGCTAAAAATCCGAAACAAAAACAAAAAATTTAGATAGCAAAACCGTGAATTTTCTAACCAAAATTATTTTACAAGAGTCCATGTACACAGCGATATGTTTTAATTTAAAAAAACATCTACGAATGGCACAATCTAGGCAACGAACGAATTTACGAACTATGCACACCTCGCTTTAATAAATTCATATAACAATAAATTTCAAAGAATACCATGTACACAGCATCCTGTTTCAAATTAAAAAAACATCTACGAATTGCACAATTTAGGCAACAAACGAATTTACGAACTACGCGCACCTCACTTTAATAAATTAACATAACAACAATAAATTTCAAAGAATACCATGTACACAGCGTTCTGTTTCAACTTTAAAAAACATCTACGAATTGCAGATTTCAGATGGTACGTACTAATCAACAAAATAACTAAAATAAATTTCAAGCAATTCAAAAAAAACAACAATAACGACAGAAATTCATACTAAAAAAACAATGAACATTACATTCTACAAAATAAGAACAAGAATAAAATAAAATGCACTTACCATTAATGCTTTTTCGAAGAGCAGATATACCAATTTCATACCGCCTTTAACATGCCGCCACGTAATCACTAGTATCGTATTTATATGACAGCCAGACACACTATCCAGAAAATTCATACTATGGTTCACAAATAAATAAAATAACAAATAATCACAAATCCCTACTTCTATCACGCACAACCACTAAAAATAATCTCCCATACCTTCTTTCCACACCTCCAAATACCCATTGCCCCTCAACAGGATGACCACACGACGATATTTCCTTATGCCGAACTTCAATTCAACAACTTTCACCATTAAATCTTTCCCCCTTAGCTTCTCAGACACAAAGCATGACGGGAACCAACGAACTCCAGCGAAAGACTTTTCAACGTCAACAGGGTTGCCATACAACATGCAATCGCGCCAAAAACCAGCGCAGAACACATATCGCCACATTTGGTGAAATTAGGGCGTACATCAGAGTTGTACCCATGGACAAAGTCCAGAGTGCGCAATGCCCTGTTTGTGCAATTCTGTGATTTTTTTAAAGTAAAAACATGTCAGTGTGTACATGGATACCGAGTTTGTGCAATTCTTTGACTTCTTATTTTGTCTTAGTGTAGCGGCGATTTTTGTGCCGCTACACAAAGACAAAATAACAAGTCAAAGAATTGCACAAACTCAGCATCCATGTACCGCAAAAAAATCACCAATTTTTACCAAGGGGTACCCGTAAATACACTTTTACCATTAACCGCTTGCCTGATTATCCTGAGTTATCTCGAATTCGTATATATTGCAGTTAATTATAATCCCATGAAAACTCAGGTGAAGCAGAATTAGTTAGTACGATTTGTTTTAATCATGGTCTTACTTAGCCTGAAGGAAATATTCTGCTTTGATTGGCATTTTGCCAAATTTTGTTGGTTGCACGGTTCTTAGGAGGGACTGGTCACGTGTCTCCCTATTGTACAGTATCCATTGGCTTGTGGATTAGTAATGTATAAAGAAGGATACATGTGTTGGAAAAAAATGAAATAATGGCGATGATGCAAGATAGCGAAAGCGATGATTTTTCAGATAGTAATTACGAAGAGGTGGGGAAAAATTTTTTTTTAAAAATCAAATCAAATGATACAGTGTATTCTGTGCTCCCATGAAAGATTCCAGCAGTAAGCCAGTAAGAAAAGAGACCAGATACCAGTGTAAGGTATCACTTTGTGTTGTCCCTTGTTTCAAAAACTATCATACAAATATATTAATTTAACTTTTTTTCG